GTAGTTCTCCGGAGTCGTGAAGGGCAAGAACGGAGTGGGCATTTCGGTGGACAGGGAGCTTAGAGAGCCGATGGTAGAGGTTAGACGGGTGAATAACAGATTGATAGTGATTAAGGTAGTAGTTGGAGGGAGCACTCTGAATGTCATTAGTGCTTACGCGCCACAAACGGGCTTGGACGAGAAGGTAAAAAGGTGCTTTTGGGAGGCGCTGGATGAGGTGGTGCGGGGTATTCCGCCGACGGAGAAGCTATTCATATGAGGGGATTTCAATGGCCATATTGGATTGTCTGTTGGTGCCTATGGTGAGGTGCACGGCGGCTTCGGCTTTGGTGATAGGAACAAGGGTGGTACCTCACTGTTGGATTTCGCTAGAGTTTTTGAGTTGGTGATCGTGAACTATATGTTTCCAAAGAGGGAGGAATATTTGGTTACTTTCCGGAGTATGGTGGCTAAGACTCAAATTGACTATCTCCTCCTCAGGAGGTGTAATAGGGGGGTTGTGCGAGGATTGAAAGGTGATCCCGAGTGAGAACCTCGAAACTCAACATAGGCTCCTAGTGATAGATGTTAGTATTTTGATGAAGAGGTTTGTACGGGGTCCGTCGAGGATCAGGTGGGGAGCTTTGTCTAAGGATAATGCGCAAGAGTTCGAAGGGCGGCTGACAAATATAGGTGCCAGGAAGAGTAGTGGGGACGCTAGTGCTATGTGGACGGCGACGGCGGACTGTATAAGGGAGGCAGCAAGAGAGGTGTTGGGAGTTTCGAAAGTCTATTATGGGGGATATCGAGGCGACTGGTGGTGGAATGACATTGTCCAAGTTAAAGTGGAAGCCAAGAAAGTTGCGTACATTAAATTAGTAGAGAGCATCGACGAGGATCAGAGGAGTACGAACAGAGAAAAATATAAGGAGGCTAGGAAGGAGGCGAAAGTAGCGGTCACAGAGGCTAAGACTGCTGCTTTTGGTCGGCTTTATGAGGAACTTGGGGGGAAAGGTGGGGATAAGAAGTTTTTTTCATTGGCCAAAGCAAGAGAGAAGAAGGCTCGCGATCTGGATCAAGTGAGGTGCATCAAAGATGAGGACGGTCGAGTATTGATGGAAGAGGCCCAGATTAGGCAAAAATGGCAGTCGTACTTTCATAAACTTATAAATGAAGCAGGGGATAGAAACATCATATTAGGGCAATTGGGGCACTTCGAGAGTCACCGAGACTTTAGGTATTGTAGGCGCATTAAGGTTGAGGAGGTCGTGGGTGCAATGGGTAAGATGAGTCGGGGCAAAGTGACCTAACCTAACAAGATTCCAGTAGAGTTTTGGAGATATGCAGGTAGGGCAAGCTTGAAGTGGCTGACTGGGTTGTTTAATGTTACCTTCAGGACAAAGATGATGCATGATGTGTGGCGGTGGAGTACAATGGTTCCGGTGTACAAGAATAAATGGGATATCTAGAATTGTAACAACTATAGGGGCATCAAGTTACTAAGTCATACCATGAAAGTCTGGGAGAGGGTGGTGGAAGGGAGGATAAGGAGGGCGGTGTCTATATCAGAAAACCAGTTCGGGTTCATGCCGGGCCATTCTACTACGAAAGTTATCCACCTTATCAGGAGGTTGGTGGAACTATACAGGGATAGGAAGAGGGATTTGCATATGGTGTTTATTGATCTAGAGAAGGCATATGACAAGGTCCCTAGGGACGTCCTTTGGAGGTGTCTGGAGGTGAAAGGTGTGCTGGTGGCTTGCATTAGGGCGATAAAGGATATGTATGATGGAGCTATGACTCGGGTTAGGACTGTGGGAGGTGACTCAGATCCTTTTTCGGTGGTTATAAGATTACAACAAGGATCTGCGCTCAACCCGTTCTTATTTGCTCTAGCGATGGACGCACTGATACATCATATCCAAGGAAAGCTGCCATGGTGTATGTTGTTCGCTAATGTTATAGTTCTGATTGATAAGACACGAGGCGGTGTTAATGGGAGACTGGAGGTATAGAGGAAGTCTCTAGAGTCTAAAGGTTTCAAGTTGAGTAGGACTAAGACAGAATATATGGAATGAAAGTTCAGCGATGTGACGGGGGAAGCAGATGTAGAAGTCAAGCTTGACTCACAGGTCATCCTCAAGAAAGAAAGTTTTAAGTACTTAGGGTCAATTATCCAGGAAGATGGGGAGATTGACGGGGATGTTACGCATCGTAATGAAGTGGGGTGGATGAAATGGAGGTTTGCGTCTGGAGTCCTGTGTGACAAGAATGTGCCACCGAAACTTAAAGGTAAGTTCTATAAAGCGGTGGTTAGATCGGCCATGTTGTATGGAGCTGAGTGTTGGTCAGTCAAGAATTCACATATCCAGAAGATGAAAGTAGCAGAAATAAGGATGTTGAGATGGATGTGTGGGTACACTAGGCTGGATAAGATTCGGAATGAAGATACTCGGGAGAGAGTGGGCGTGGCTTCTGTGGACGACAAGATGCGGGAAGCGCGACTTAGATGGTTCAGACACGTGCGGAGGAGAAGCATAGATGCACCGGTTAGGAGGTGTGAGCAGTTGACTTTGACAGGTACGAAAAGAGGCAGAGGGCGGCCTAAGAAGTATTGGGGCGAGGTAATTAGGCAGGACATGGCACGGCTTCATATTTTCGAGGACATGGCTCTTGATAGGAACATGTGGAGGTCGAGCATTAGGGTGGTAGGCTAGGGGGTAGTCGAGAGTTCTTCCCTCTTTGTACCGGGTAGTCTGATAGAGTTTCGTGTAGGTTTGTTAGCGGCCTTTGTTGTATTCACATTGTTGTTTGCATAGTTTTGTGTTATTGTCCTTTCACTTATTTGTTGTGGTTATTTTCTTTCTGGTATCTTTTGTTGTTACATGTCTTTTCTCTTTTTTATTTCTGATATTATTGTCTCTCCTGTTGAGTCGAGAGTTTCCTAGAAACAGCCTCTCTGCTCTTTTCGGGGTAAGGGTAAGGTTTGCGTACACTCTACTCTCCCCAGACCCCACTAGTGGAATTTTACTGGGTATGTTGTTGTTGTCGTAATTTTTGTAAATTATAATTGGACAGAGTATATACCTATGGGCTCCAGGCTCGATATTTGAGGCTAGTAGCACCATGCTATCCTGAATTCTTATATGTGTCAATTTTAATATTTTTCAAAATTTTGTGTGTTTGTTTTATAAATTAAATAATTAATTTTTGTAAATTGTAATTGGACAGAGTATATACCTATGGGTTCCAAGCTCGATATTTGAGGCCCAGTAGCACCAAACTATCCTGAATTCTTATGTGTGTCAATTTCAATATTTTCATAATTTTATGTGTTTGTTTTATAAATTAAATAATTAATTTTTGTAAATTATAATTGGATAGAGTATATACCTATGGGCTCCAGGCTCGATATTTGAGGCTCAATAGCACCAAGCTATCCTGAATTCTTATGTGTGTCAATTTCAATATTTTTCATAATTTTTTGTACATAAATTAATATTTTTGTAAATTGTAATTGGACAGAGTATATACTTATGGGTTTCAGGCTCGATATTTGAGGCCTAGTAGCACCAATCTATCCTGAATTCTTATGTGTGTCAATTTTAATATTTTCATAATTTCGTGTTTTTGTTTTATAAATTAAATAATTAATTTTTGTAAATTGTAATTGGACAGAGTCTTTGTTTGATCTATCAATATAATAGATACTTAAACTACAGTGATTCTACGCTAAAAGGCTCTACATTTTACTACGGTAAAATGGCACTAGTCTTTAAGCAAATAAATAATCTAAACTAGATAAAAACAACAAATATATTTTAATAACATTACATTCACGAAATTACATATAAAATAGTAAAAGAAATTTATGAATATTTTTATTAACAAAAAAAATAATTTCTCAATTTTTAAATATTTTTTTAAAACACTAATATCTTAGTCCGAATAAAAATAAGATACTAGTTTAATCGCAAACAACACAAAAAAACATGAAAACACATTCAAAATAACTAATATGCATTATTATACGAGTTTCGACATAAACTAAATCGGAATACCTCGATTTATGTTTTTCGAAAAGTCGATGAATTGAAATTTTGAGCCCGAAATGAGGAAACCACAACAATATAAGGATTGGGTAGGATGTGTGACCTACAATCTTATTTTTTTGTGTGACGGGTGGGGTCCGCTACAATTTTTTTAAGATGAAATTTTGGGAGAGGGGACCGTTCTGTTTTGTTTAGAAAAATGGGGTCGTCTGGTTCGATGATCGTGGGGAAGAAGAAGGGGCCCTATTTATCTATGTATAGTGCTTTTTATTACTGCGCTATACCCATATAGCGCGGTTATATAGAGCCCTATGCTTAACTGTCTTATCAGCACTGCATAGCACGGTTCTTTAATGCGTTATACATATATAGCGCTCTTTAAACAGTCAAAATTCTGTTAAAATATAGCGCTCTTTAAATAGTCACTTTTTTTTTATTTATTTATGTCACACTTGTATAAAAATCCCACAAATCCGTTATGGACTCGCACTGGGGCAACACATGGCTCATTTCTCCCATGTCTCGTTTTTTTTTTTCTTTCCGAAAATGGAAAATAAAGTGAACATTATCAGGGTACTATATGTACTTAATTTTGTTAAAGACTTTTTTCTGTCTTCCACTGTTGGATCCGCCACATCTAATATAGTGTGAAAAGTATAGTCCTCTTGAAACAATTCCTGGCGCATAGTGGCGGAAATGTAAAGTACTTTTTTCTTTTCTTGTTTTATATGTCTACACTTTATACGGATCACTAGAATACCCGTCATCCAAATTCCTTGTAGTTTTGTAAGTGTAAATAGTTTTTTAGGCTCACGCAAAAAATATTTATAGGAAAACCTTTTTATCATTTACTATTTAAAATAAGACAAGTTACCTGTTATATTATATAAAGATAATTTGAGAGTGTAAAAATTTCTGACGATGTATATAACTTAGAGCTATCTTTAAAAGCAAATTTCTGTACTGTACGCGTTGGCCAAAGTCTATCCTTAGATATGTCGCACGATAGGCCAATTCTGTAAGAGTAGCTAATTAGCTATTGCAGAAAAGTGATCCTAATAGACGGGTTTAGAAAGCAGACAAAGTACTTTTTGCTTCTCCTGTATATAATATCCTATAATTATGGAATCTCACTTTAACTTCATTTTCTTTATTCTTTTCTCTTCTACTGTCACTTCAAATACTTAAAATTCCCAATAAAGGTTGGCAAAATCTCTTGAACTCTTGTTGAAATTGAAATTTGGGAAAGTATTAATTGAACTATCGTGAAATATAGTTAAAAAGAGTTGAGTTGGATAAGAGAAGGTACTTCTCGTGCTTATGATGGATTTGGGATATTATAATTATAGATCAAAGTAAATCACTTTTCTTAACTCTACGCAAAGCTAGATAATAGGATAAAACAAAAGCTATATTTAAGTCTTTTGAGAGATTACCGGTCTAATTAAATGACTCTTAATCCGTCTTAGCCTAGGAATGATGTGGCAGCATGTCAAAACCCCCGTAACTGCCGGAATAAAGGGCCATCACTTCCTTCCACTATTACTATATGTTACTTAATGCAGACTTTTTCTCCACCCTCTCTCGAAACCGATGACACGACTTTCTTCCCACTGATAGAGAATTACTTTTCTTTCCATTCAAAATCAGAGTAAGAGTACAGATTTTCAACCGGTAGTACCTTCCCTCTCTGTTGCTGCATCTTCTTATCCTCCTTTTTTCCTTTTCCCTTCTCCCTTTTTCATTAGAGTTCCATCTCTGTCTTTTGATGTTCAGATTATTTTTGCAGATTTGATTCATTATGTTTTTTGGTCTAATGTGCCTTGCTCTGTAAAATTTTGCAACTTTGTTGTTCAATTTTGTCTCACTGATTTGCTCAATCAAATCACTTATTTCCTCTTTTCAGGTTTCAGGAATCGCTCTCTACATCAAATCTCGATTCTCTCGGTCAACATTCTGAGCGCTAATCTACCCATTTGGGTTTTCTGATTACAACTGCTTCTTGAATGTGTTTAACTACTTCGGTGAAACACTTCACTTCTTCTCTTTTATCATGTTAATTAATTCCCTATTCCCTCTTATATTTTGATTATTTATACCTTTGTGACAGAGATGTGGCCAAGGGCAAAACAAGGGCCTATAACAGACACTCTTGGAACTTCTATTGGTTCATCATTTATACTTTACGTATTATTTTCATCTGCTTTTTGTTTTAATTATTTTATGAATCATTTAGGGAAAATGCTTTATTGTTGTTGGTGACGCCTTTCAACTGTTAGAGAGACTTATTTTGCCTATCATGTAATGTGGATTCTACATTTTAATTTTCATGTTAGTAGGTAAATTTGTCATTATTGGCAGCAAGTATTGCCCTCTCAGGTACCTGTTTATGTCATACTGGATTTTTATATATGGCAAGTGTTAGTACAAGAGAATTTATGCATTTGAAAATATATTAGTTTAAGTACCACGTCGAGGAAACAGGACAACTCAAACTAATTCAATGCCATGTCATTGCGCGTGCACCTCACTGCTGCTTATCACTTGCTAACAACTCAAAATGATATGACAAAGGTTGGATAGCTTATGATTTATCTATTACACCTCAGAAGGTTGATAATGTATTAGCTAGTAATTACTGTTATTCTTCTGCAATTTCTCATGTGGAGAATGTAAACCATAAGAAGAGGGTCAAGGAACTTGGAGCATATGTAAAGAAGTTGTGTCTTTAGCAGAACCTTCAACACAGCACAACCACCATCATGCAAAAATTAAAGTAAGTGTCATTTTATCATTCTTGGACGTAAGGATCAACGTCATAAAAATATTAATCGTAATTTTTCCTACACCGCTCATCCTATGTGGCTTCTTTATCTTTGCCATAGGAATAGAATAATTTACTGAATTTTCTGAAAGATGGTCTTATTGTTAAGTAGCAGAAACTAAGCAATTCCTTCATAGTTAGGGAAGAGCTGGCTTACTTTCGTCAAACTAATGGAAGAAGCTCTGCGTTAATTAATATTGACAATCAGTAAATACGGGAGAACAAGTTGAAGATTAGTATTTCTATTTAACGTGCTTAGGAGGAATACCAATGTAACTGTGGATAGACCTAATTGTTATTAGCATATTGTTGCTCCAATTCTTTAATTTTTATCAATTGACATTGGTTTTCTCATCATATGGAATATCTGATGTAGGGTGCTGGAATGACAAGACCAAAACCGATATTGCAGTCTCAGCAGCTGAAAAAAGCACTTGAGCAGCTCAAAACACAATGAATTCATTGGAAAGAGAACTGCAAGATAATTTCTTAATGTTTCAATCGTATTTAAAGAGGGAAAAAATTAAAAGTTTAATTCAGTCCTTTAAAATTCAAAGCATTCAAATGGCAATAAAGTATGTAGAATGAGGGGAATAATTCTATATAAAGAAGAATATTTCATTAAATTAAAATGTGATTTGATATCTTGTAGAATGGTTTTTTTTTCCAACTTTTACTTCTAAAAGCTGTTAGCCACAGAATTTTAGACAATGATAGATGGAATCAAGAAGGCATTAGTCAACTCATACTCTCTTCTCCTTATTTCTTTTCTGTTCTACGTATGTACTTGATTTGTTGGTATGAGACCTTGGACTATTGGCCATCAGTACACTTACTAATTTATGATGCCTTTCTATTTCTATATCAGCTTGGAAAATGTAACTATGGTACGTGTTTAAAAAATAATGAATGATTTGCTTAACAAAAGGATTTCATGCTCTGTCAATAGCATTTTGGATTGACACCCCTTGGGAAAGTTGAAATGCATACATTATCGTGATAGGCTAACGTAATGTGATGTTGCATTTACTAACTCATTGTTCCTAATTACTATTCAAAATTTAAGAATGACCATGTCTACACAAGTATTTCAATGTTAGAGTACCTAATGGACTTTGTGCCCATCAGACAATCAGCTTCGGCATGTTAACTGTGCAAATAACTTTCGTTTCTTGATAACCACATTTACAAACCATTATAATCTGACATTTTTGTGGTACTTTTAAGCTATTGAAACTAATTCCTTTGGTATCTGGGATTTTTCTGAAGAGTGGTATGATAGAGGTCATTGACAAAGGAGTATACATGTGTATCATAAAACTATTAGAACATGTACTACGCAGTGTGCCAAACTTCAATTTTTGCATTAAATCATAAAGATCTAACTGATCTGATGGACATGTCGTTAAAACTTCAATTCTCTGTTTTAGTTTTTGGATTGGGTCCGTTTTTAGCACTGCTAACCACCACTAATATTTACAAAATGCATGAAAACAAAATAAATTACATTATTAATAGCTTAGAGTGCTATTTAAGGAATGGTTCGAAAAATATAGTTCTAAAAGAATCTATCAACTTCTCATTTTATATCTTATCTAAAAAATAATTGTCCTATAAATCTACTAATGTTCTTTAACAACCTCGCGAAGCGCGGCAAGTTTACTAGTGAAATATAAGCGGAGGTCACCAGAACAAAAAAAACATTCTTTTACATAGTGTAGGCACAGATATATGTCTCTCATTAATTTCCTTTTTCTTTTTGGTTTCAGTTTCGTAATTCGGATACTAAGGGTTTTTCTTGTTTATTAATAGCCTGTTTGGCAAGCTTTTTTTGGTTAAAAGTGTTTTTTTTTTGTCAAAAGCACTTTTGGCTAAAAATTGAGGTGTTTGGCTAAGCTTTTGGAAGGAAAAAAGTGCTTTTGAGGAGAAGCAGAAAAAAGTAGTTTCTCTCCAAAAGCACTTTTTTGAGAAGCATTTTTGAGAAAAATACACTTAGAAACAGTTTTTTAAAGTTTGGCCAAACATTAATTGTTGTTTAGAAGTGTTTTTCAAACTAATTAGCCAAACACAAACTTCTTCTCACCAAAAGTACTTTTGAGAAAAACATTTTTTTTTTTTAAAAATGCTTCTCAAAATAAATTAATTTTTGCAGCTTGGCCAAACGGGCTATAAGAGTGTAAAAATACAAACTGGTTTGGTGTGAATTGTCATGTATAGTCATAAATTTATATTTCACCTTTAGTGACATGCTTTTACGTAGAAACCATTGAAATGTCATACATCACATAAGTTATAATAGTATACTTTTGGCTTATATTAAAAGGTTCCTTCCTTTCTTAAACTAGAGGAGAGGAGAGTCAACAATAGCGTTATATAGAAGAGTTTAAGTTATATATGTCGTCGTCCGTCTAAAGAATTATTTACACTATTAAATCATCCAAAAAGATATTTGCATGTAAATCTCCTTAAATGAAAATAAATTTATAATCTTAAGAAGAAGACAGTTTAGTTAGCTGCTATAATAGATAAAAATGATTTGATGTTATAGAAATCCTGATAGTGTATAACATTAACATAAACTCTAAAAAAATGGAAGAAGTGCATTTGTAACTGTATGGACCAATCGGACAAAAGCATCCAAAGCGTTTACGTCAAAGCAGCTAAGAAATTGAGCATTAATTTTAATTATATCATTGTTTGAAAGCAAATTTAATCGGTCGAAATCTTGAAACGGATAACACTAGCTCGGAATATGACTGATCAGACTAATTCCTAACCTTTCCTCAAGTAGGTAAAAGATAACCTAGTCTTAATTGTTTCAAGCTGCGACGACATGCGTGTGTATATGAAGATGTTCATTTTCAATGGTACCACAAGCAGCAGCCAAAGCCTAGCTAGGACAACAGGGTAGACGATGAACTCAGTTACGATGTGGGCCTATTGGGCAAGTGGCTTATGGCTTCAGATGTTGGTATTTTTGGGATACAAGATAGAGTTGAATACAGCCAATGTCGCACTCTCGGAAGCGACTGTTGGTTGTCTTCTCGCGTCTAACGTCAACCATCCTAGCTAATAATTTAGTCTAAGATTTAAAGAAAACATAAGATTATCGTGGGCCAAAAAGAAGAAGATATTGAATATATAAGTAGAATTTTCGTCTAGACGTTTCAAACTTGAATTCCTTATTTCGCCATATTCAGCATCTTTTTTTCTCTGAATTGTGGAACTTAAGTGTTTCCTATCATAGCATATGCGTTAACGTTTGTTAGTTGAGAACGCTGGTGGGAAGAGTTGACGTAGAGAGTCGAGCTTGCACTGTCAGGCCAGACTAGTTCAGAAATATGTCTCATGATAATTGCTCGTACGACTTGGAATTAAGTATGTTAAGTTATATGTAGGAGACGAGACATTATTGGTTAAGAAATTTGAATGGTCCACTCACTGGTCTTAAGCTTTTTCTCAATGTGGTGACTATGGTCCCTACTGGTTAAGTAATTAATTTTAGTTTTGCCCTAGATATGTAATGTCTGAAAGTTCTCTAAAATAAGGAGATATTAATGAAACATTGTAACTCATCAAAAGCCGTATCCTTATGCCCGTGCTTTTATATTTTTTCTCATGTAGTGTTTAAGAATAGAAGAAGATATGATGTGTCTGTATACTTGTGCACTTTAGAATCCCAAAGTGTCACAGCTCTTTGGGAAGTAAATACGAAAAATATTTATACTTCAAGGGCTAGATCGTTTGGAACATGGGATAAGGATAATAATAATTTCGGGATAATGTTTGGGATTAACTTTATTTCATGTTTGGTTTGGAGTATCAGCTAATTTTGGGATAACTTTTACACTAAAATTTAAAATTAATTATCCCATATAGAAGGTGGGACAACTAATCCCATAAAATATCCCAAAAGATATCATGAGATATCTCACCATTGTACCAAACGACCTCTAAGTCTCTACTTTTCACTTTCATGCTAACAAAAGACAAGATTTCTTCTGCCAAATTCACCGTATTAACAAGTTCAAGTTCAATATAACAGACTGAACAAATTCACAACTCTTTCTTTTCCCACTTTACTAATCTTCCCTCTAAGGCAACGACGGGCACGGGAGGAAGAAACCTAAGAAAAGACACTCTGATTCTTAATTAGGTCCTTTTCAAGCTAGGAATTTAAGAAATAATTAAGAAGAGGGTAGATTATACACTACACAAGTTAACGTCAATAAAACGCTACTGACGACTCAAGAATGTGGAACCGGCAATGGAAAAGGACATCACAGAATTCCATTGTCTTTGCCAGCTGAAGGGTGTTTCCCATTTTCTTGTTTCCACACTGCAAACCTATCAGTTAGTTCAACCAACTTCCGAAAATTTAATTTCTTGCCGCAATCTTTGTGGAGTCTCCTTTTGTTGTTGTTGTTGTTACTTCTTAATCGAATTTTATCAAGTTCGGCCCATGTTTCACATGTATATGTTTTGTTAAAGTGAATGTACTTTTTTAAAAGGAAAAGAAGGCATGTTTAGCACAAATTCTCCACAACCAAAACGAAGCAGAAAGTAGATCTTGGGTCTTTGGCTATGACTTCACTTGCAAAATTAAAGTCATTATTTGCACGTTTGTAGTCTGGTCATCAATTTTTGAGGAAATAGAACTTTAATATTAATATTAAATAAATGTATAATATTGAAAAACTTATTTAAAAAGTATTTCAAGTTAAATAACACTCATAGTTTTCATTAACAAAACTTTAATTTTTTTTTATGTCCAATACTCATTTAGAAATTGGAGTTGTGTTTGGACATGAATACGGATTGGAGATTTGAATTTTTGTGAGAGATTTATAGCCTGTTTGGCCATGCTGGAGAAATCAGCTTATTTTGAGAAGTATTTTTTTCAAAAGTACTTTTGGAGAAATCAAATTGTGTTTGGCTAATTACTCTGAAAAGCACTTTTGAGTAATATTTGTGTTTGACCAAGCTTTTCAGAAAGTGCTTTTAAGTATCAAATTACAAATAAGGACATAAATAGATTTAGTTAATAGTTAATATTATAAGTAAATAAATAATCTCAAAATTTTGTTACTACATGCAATAATTAAATCTTTTCATTTTATTTAAGTAAAATATGAAAACAAAATTAAAAAAATACTTAATTCTTTTAATATAAGTTAAATATATTAAAAATTATTCAACAAATATAAAAGTGTGCACCCCGAAGTCACTATATATTAGAAAGCTATCCTAAAAATAAGAAGAAATATTTATACATTAATATCCTAAGTATTATGCTTAATGTTTATTTTGGTATATACTATATTTTGTTAAGGATATTTTTGGTAAGAAGAAAAGTTAAAACTGCTTCTGCTTCTGCTTTTGGGAAGAAGCTACTTTTTTCTGATTCTTAGAAACTGCTTCTGCTTCTTCCCAAAAGAAAAAAACTTTGTCAAACATCTCAAGTTAGGGGAAAAAAGTACTTTTGGGAAAGAAAAAAAAGTCACTTTTGGCCTTTCGAGATGCTTGGCCAAACGGTCTATTAGAGTGAAAGTTGTGAAAAATAACTTTTTAGAGTTTTTCGAATTCCAAAAAGTTCCGGAATTCAACTTTAAGTTTGATTTGAAATTTTTATGATCAAATAATAATTCCGGAAAAAGTTTTAAAAAAATCCCAAAAAGAAAATGATTTTTTTATGGTTCATTTTTTATTGGGCAAACGAGGCCTTAAAATGCCTTGAACTTTTTTTGGAAGACGCTTATAAGCTATTCATAAGATTTCATAAAAAGATTCGAATTTGCTTTTTCTTATGAGAAAAGAATACTCAAAAAATAATTTATAAAGGATGTGGTCCCAGCACTTCCTCCGTACATTGGCCCGGACAGCAGACGTACCTTTACACGTACACATCTTTAGGCTTCTCAGTTTATAAATACTACTAGCCCTCATCTGCCTCACAGCTCAAACCAAATCCACCTTCAATTTTCCGATTTCTATTTCTTCTCACACTACTTATATTGTAATTTTAGCAGCTCCAGCTTTTAATTAAACTGAAGTTGTTTCTAGCATTGAATGTTGGAAGGAGAGAGTTGGAATTATTGTTACAGAAAGAATGACGGAGAATCAATATTATGCACCTTCCCATTCGGATCCATCTCGGCCTTCACTAGGCTTCCCACTGGGCACTGCCCTCCTCTTGCTAATCATTTTCAGCTTGAGTGGAATCTTTTCTTGCTGCTACCATTGGGACAAACTCCGCTCTCTCCGTCGATCTTTCTCCGACAGTACGGATCTCGAAGCCGGTGACGACCCTTCTTCTTTGAAATCTAAAGCCCACATGATAAGATTTCATCAACTCCCTCTTCAAACGACACAAAATCAATCGACTAATAGCGATAACTTCCAGTTTAATTGGGTTGGCTCTATATAAATCTTTCGTGTCCGTTTCATTTTATTGGAATTCACGTCTAATAATCCATTGCAATATATCCTCTTTCTTTCTCTGGTTTGGGACCGACGGCTGGCAGAGTTCATCTAGCTACACATAATAAAGTCCAAATTACTTCCTCCGTTGGTATTTTACTGGACTGGAGTTTAAGAAAATTAAAAAAGAAAGCTTCTATTACATAGTAGTATTAAAGTAGCTTTAAAACTTGTGATGACTACAAGAATATGTCGTTTGGGATAATGGTGGAATATCCCATGAATAGGGGTAACTAATCCCACCATTTTAGTGTAAAAGTTATTCAGGGATTAATTAACATCTCAAACCAAACATGGGAACTTTATCTCAAAATTATTATTCTTATCTTATGTACCAAATAGCCTCCAAGAGATTAAAATATCTCTAGAGTTAGTTGTACATATTGCTTACTTGGTTGAATAATTTTATTTTGCTTTCGAAGTATCAAATATAAAAACTGTCATTCTATTTGAATAACCTAAAAAAAAGAAAGAGATCTGAATTATCTTGTTGCTCTGTTTTGCAGAATTGGAAGCAAAACCAAATATCAAATATGCCGGCAGTGTTGATGCCTGGAGATCAAGTACCAAAGTTCATAGCATTGCCATGTCCATGTCAGCCTCTCCGACCAGGAAAGGTAGTTGTAGAGATGCAACCGCCGCTGCCGACTTCTCCTCCGAAGCCACTTCATATGGCAGTGGCAGTAACTTTCTATTAGCAAAGCTACCACGAAAATTTTAGAACTGGACTAGTAATTGATTGTGTGTATAGTGGCATAGTGGAATATAGTGAATTGTAGTTCAATCAAATTCGTAATGTTTTTTACTTGTAAATATTAAGGGAGAAATTAAAAAAGAGCCAGATTTACAACTGGTCGTTCAAAAATAGCCCAGTTTAAAAAGTAATCGAAATTTAGTCATTTTTCATGTAAAGATAAATCTGGGCGAAAATACTGTTCAAAACTCGGAAATACGCCAGTATATTATGCTGGAGTTACAACATAAGTTTACTTGAACTCCAGCATATTATACTGGAGTTCCAGAATAAGTATGCTGGAGCTCCAGCATAATATGATGAACTTCCAGCATAATATGATGGAGTTCCAGCATAAGTACACTAGAACTCCATCATAATATACTGGAGTTCCAGCAAGTATACCGGTCCAGTATAATATACTGGAGTTTGGAGCACCGGTGCTCCAGTCTCTAGTATATTATACTAGAGCCAACAAAGTATACTGGTCCAGCATAATATGCTAGAATTCATACATAGGTGCACCAAACTCCAGTATATTATGCTGGACCGATCTCTGTTGCAGAAAAATAGTGGCTATTTTTCATTGACTTGGTAAACGCTGGCTATTTTTGAATGACCAGTCCGAAAACTGGCTATACCGTGCTATTTTGTCAAATATTAATGCACTTTGAGCAATTTTCTAGTACGGCTTTTAATTTACTCTTCGCGGTTGTTGTGTAATGCTTCGTACCATGGAGGTCGTATCTAAAATCTTTGGGAGAAATACACTCCTTATCACTTGGATCAATAGCCCATCAAAAAATGACCCACGTTTGAAGCCCTTACCCAGTGTGGCCTAGGTTGTATATAATGTGAAAATTACTTTTCCCCTATTAGCCCACTCCTTTTAATTTCTTTTTATTTTTCTCTGTTCTTCTTCTCCTCGTGTTCCAACTTTGCATCCCAAACTTTCTTCATTATTATTCTTCATCAACGCTCCTCCAGATTCAAAGCCGATAATCACTATTTGGATGAAGAAGAAAAAATAATAAAGAATTAGTTTTTTGGAGTCATATGAAGATCATTCTTTCAATGGAGTAGAAAGAACTGTGTTTGCACTAAAGAGGTTCACTTGGTTGATTGTTGGATCACCAAACTAGAAAGAAGGTATTGGCATGGTCTCAGTCTTATCCTCATTCCACGTGTAATTCTAATTCCAGTGGTTGATTATAAACTTGGAAAATAGAAGTCACCATTAAAGGTGTTTCAAAGCTTCGATTTCAGAAATTGCGTTTTTTGATTTATTAGTTGTTTGGATTGGGTGTTTTTCCAATTGATTGGAATCATCAAGAGGAGTTCAAAACTTAAATTTGAAGTGATTTGGAGTAGATTTAAGCTAGATTTGAGTTAAATTTCAGAAGATCCCCAAGAAAGAAGAACATATGAAGCTCCATTGATAGGATTCATCTGTATAATAGTGTATAAAATTATATAAATAGTATATAACAGTATATAAACAACTTTCATATACAATAATACATTATTTACATGTATTTGGTAAATTTCTCACATATTCTTCTTCTTCTTCTACACGTATATACATAGGTATCACCAATATTTTTTTACAGTATTTATACATCTTTATACATTTTTATACAACTATATACATAATATACCTTTTTGTATAAAATTGTATAATATCATATAAAAGTATATAAACATCTCTGATGAACTTCTTATACGATTTCACCTGCAATTCTTGTTCAAAACTAGTCTAAAACTCCATCAAATGACTTCAAATTTTGTATACAACTTACTTAGACTATTTCTAATAAGTTCAAATAATACCCACTCCAAATTTCTCATAAAATCATATTTAAAATTTAACAAGATTAACATTGAAGAAGAAGAGATTTTAGGTTTCTCGCGTCTGTTTTTGAATTTTTGTAGATGGGATAGGTATGTACAAACTTGAGGAAAAAAGGAGAATGAAAACTCAAGGATCTTTCATGCCGGAAGATATGGAGAATCAAAAGAAAAGAAAAAAAAATAGGATATGAGTTTATTGATATTTGGCTACAAATTTGCAAACTTGTAACTGGGCTAAAATACTGCAAGGTCACCTTATGGAGTGATCTATTGTGTAATTCTTCCAAAATCTTTTACAGTGGTGTTTGGTGAAAGGGTTTAAAGTTATACTGTCTGACTTCTCTATGACAACATCCATATATAACAGGCATTCACTATAAAAGTTAAATTTTCCTTAGAGCCGATTTTTTAAGTTATATTTTACCTCCCTATAACAGCTTCTACTATAACAACAATAACTATTTTTATAGCTAGTAGAACGCTCTTTGTAAAATTATCTCTCCACAACAGCTATATAGAGTCTTTAAGATTACTGATAGCAATTCTAAAAATATCCGTACAATCTTTTCCATTGAACAAAGTTTCTATCTTGCATAAGACATAAGATTTGAAGATCTGCACATGATATATTTTCATTGGATTCATTTTGCTAAAAATTTGGATACGAATCTTCGTCAATTCAAGCATATATCAGTAAGAATGAAATCTACGAAACAACTACAATTACAAAGTTCTTTCGTCAATCTTGAAAGAATTTATTTTCCTAGTAGCTTTAAAATGCGTGCCTTAGAGTTTAAATCTTTGTACGTTTAGTTAATGAATTTATTAATAATGTATTAGTTTTCTTCAATATATACCTAGTAAAATATGCATATCTTCTAAGATTTTAAATTTGAAGAATTTTCTTATTTGTTATATATAACATTAAAAAAAGAAAAATAATTGAGTTTTGAATTTTTTTTACCTATAACAACCAAAAAATATTTAAACGTCAAATGCCGTTATAGGTGTGTAACAGCCATTCGCTATAAAAGTCAAAAAATCTCGGAACAAACGACATTGTTATAGAGAGGTTTGACTGTATATATTTTATGTGTAAAGAATTAATTTGTACGCTATTAAATTATTTTTATTTTTGTGAAATTGAAAGATAGACGAGAGAGAGAGAAGCTCAGTGTGAGCTCTTATGGAGGAAACACAGAGTGTACAGAGAAGGAGAGGACACGAGTGAAGTTTCTAGAAAAGGAACTGCTTCTTTCATTTTTAACAACTCAACTGAAAAATACAATTAATGTCCCTATTTATAATATCTACTAACACTATAACTAACTAATACTCTTACTAACTAATGACAGCTCATTAGCTAACTCTGCTAACTATACTAACTAATGTAATTGTTGTACAAGTAATGAATAAAAGAATAAATACAATACAATGTATGAGTATTCTCAACACCCTCTCAAGTTGGAGGTGAGAGGCTCACTGCCAACTAGCCAAGAAGTGTGGAATGCTTGATTCCTGTTAGAGACTTGGTAAAAATGTCAGCTAATTGGTCATTGGTAGGAACATGTGAAGGGAAATTAATCCTTTCGGCAGCTGGTCTCGCACAAAGTGGCAGTCCACTTTAATATGCTTCATACGCTCGTGGAAAACATGATTCCTTGCTATGTGTAGGGCAGCTTGACTGTCGCAGAATATAGGAATGGGCAAGACTAGAGAAACAGTGAGTTTAGCAAAAAGCCTGGCTAGCTAGATAAGTTCTCCAACAACCATCCTAGCTGATCTGTATTCAGTTTCTGCAGAGGATAAGGAAATGGTGGACTGCTTCTTATATTTCCAACTGATAGGGTTGTCACCAAGTAATATTATCTAGCCAATGACTGATTTTCTGGATTGGGAACAAGTAGCCCAATCAGAGTTACAAAAGGCCTTCATTCTGTAATCTGTATCATTACTAAGGAAATTTCCCAAGGATGGATCACCTTTCAAGTACCTTAAGACATGATATGCAGCCTTTAAATATGGCTCTCTGGGACTTTGCATGAATTGACTAAGACATTGTACATTGTAAGCAATGTCTAGCCTAGTATTAGTGAAGAAGTTGAGCTTTTCAATCAGCTTCCTGTAATATGAGGGATCTGTCAATAGAGCTCCCTCATCAACTTTTAATTTCATAGAAGAATCCAGAGGACAAGTCATAGGAGGACAATCTATACAACAAAACTCTTCCAAAAGATCCATGGTGAATTTCTTCAGTGACATCAAGACTCCTTTCTCTGTGTATTGAACTTCCAAACCTAGGAAGTAATGAAGTCTCTCCAAGTCCTTTATCTTGAAAGTGTTGTGTAGGAAGTTCTTCAAGGACTCAATCTCCTGTAGATGAGTGCATGTGACAAGAACATCATCTGCATAGACAACAACAAATACTACTGATCCTTCAGTCTTCTTATAAAACAAAGAATAATCAAGCATTGAGTGAGTGTACTCCCTTGAACATAGTGCTTCAGTTAATTTCTCATACCACTGTCTGCTTGTTTGTTTGAGTCCATACAGGGACTTTTGTATACTAAACCTGATCTCTCCACAACCAGACCCGGTGGTACCTCCATGTACACTTATTTATGGAGATCTCCATGGAGAAATGCATTATTAACATCCAATTGTAGAACCTGCCAACCCTTCTTGACTGATGTTTCTATTAAGGCCCTCACAGTTACCATTTTCACTACTGGTGAGAAGGTTTTTATATAGTCTATCCTAGCTTATTATGTGTAACCCTTAACCACTAGTCTTGCTTTAAACTTTTTTATGCTACCATCTGCTTTATGTTTGATTTTATATACCCATCTACACCTTATTACCTTCTTCCCAATTGGAAGAGGGACTAAATCCCAAGTCTTATTTGCATACAATGCTTGGAATTCTTGATTCATTGTTGCTTGCCAAGCAGGCTTCACAGCAGCTTCCTCATATGAACTAGGTTTACATTCATGTGAGACAGCTTCCATCAAATGCTGACTGGTGGAATTTAGGGCATTGAACAAATTATGATGAAGTTTGGGCATATAAGTAGTGAAGGAAAAGGATTGTGTACTTTGGCTATCATTTGAAGGGGATGACTAGGTTTGGTGAGTATGCTAGTTTAGGAATTGCATACTCATAGTCTTTAAGGTAAGCAGGAATTTTCAAGGTTCTGGAAGGTCTATTCTGATCTAAAGTTGAAATGTTTTGGTCTTGAGTTGAGACATTTGGACTGTCAGCAATAGGAAGAGTTCCTGATGTT